AAAAATTATTTTACACTAATACCTAATAAAATTTAAGGTTAAAATCCTTATTTGGTCCCTTATAATATTTATTTGTTTCAGTTTAGTCTCACTTTAATTTTTTATTTCAATTTGGTCCCCAATAATTTAAATTATTGCAATTTAGGATTTCAGTCAAAATGATTTAAACGGAGTTAACTGGTGGTCACGTGGATGCCAGGTGGATGCCACGTAGATGCGTAGGTGGATCCCAAATTTCTTGAATACACCTGGAACCAGAACGGCTCGTTTTAAAACCAGAACAGCCCTTTCTGGTAACACTCTTGGTGTGTAAATTTTGTACCTGGAACATACCGTTCCAGGTACAAAATTTACACACCAAGAGTGCAACCAGAACGGCCCGTTCTGGTTTCAGAACGGGCCGTTCTGGTTCCAGAATTTACGAAAAAACCCCAAGGTATAAAGCATTTTAAACACTAGATTTGGTAATATTGTCAATGAGGATTGATAACTTCAATTGCTAAACATTTAGGCTATACAATGTATCATTAAGGACGATGCAGTATATCACTAAGAACAATGGTAGCAGGTTTTATTTCATTGGTAGTCAAACTGGAATAAACTACTTACTACCAATTTGACACTATACAGTCAAAGATGAATTTTTTAACTTTTTCAGCATATGTTATTTCATGTGATTATGAATGCATACAAAATAAATATTTTTTCTTAATTTAGTATATTTCATACTTAGAGAAATTAAATGTCATTTTTTATTCAAGTTTTTTTATTATAAAAGCGAGCTTTACACCCACTTTCATCAAAGTAGTTTGTATCGTATGTGTTTTTTTGTTTGTTTTTTTTTTTATAGTTTTATTCATAAATGAATATTAATTTATTGTATTTTTTATTTATTTTATTTTTATTAATATATATATATAATAAAAAAAATACAATAAAAAGCATGAAGTTGACGTTCTGGAACGGACCGTTCTGAATCCAGAACGGCCCGTTCTAACAGCAGAACCGCCCATTCTGGTTTCAGAATGGCCTGTTCTGGTGCACTCATGTTGTGTTAAATTTGCATTTGGAATGGCCAGTTCCAGTTGCAAAATTAACACATAACATATGCAAGCAGAACGGCCCGTTCTGCTTTCAGAATGGACCGTTCTGGTTTCAGGTGTATTCATGAAATTTGACATCCACATGTGCATCTACGTGGCATCTACCTGACATCCACGTGGTCAACAATTAACTCTGTTTAAATCTTTTAGACGAAAGTCCTAAATTGCAATAATTTAAATTATTAAAAACCAAATTAAAACTAAAAATTAAAATAAGACTAAATTAAAACAAAAAAAATATTATAAAGGACCAAATAAGAGTTTTAACCTAAAATTTAATGTTTCATCACGACATTATATTTAACATAGAAACTTAACATAGACTTTAGTTAAAGAGTGCAAGAATTAAACTATTTATATTAACAATATTCAATAACCACTAATTTAATTATTAAAAAATTTATTTTGAAATTATTATATAATAAAAAGGTTAATTAACTCTTCATTTTTTCTTCCGATCACTCTTCTCTACCTCACCACCATCTCAAGACATGTATTCCATTTTTTCCCAATCACCTTCCTCTGTCACACCTCTGTTTCAAAACTTTAACCCCATTTCTTTGTTGTCACCTTTCTTTGTCTCATCTCAAATTTTCAACCTTCCATGTTTTTTCGGTTACTCTACTCCCATTTCAAAACTCAAATGCTATTTTTATTTTGTCACCCACTATCCTACTTCTTTCATCTTAATATCTTCACACTCCCATCTTTTTCAAACACCTTTCTCTACCCTTATTTTCTCATATCAAAACCTTACATCCACTTTTTTATTTTTTTTTTCACTCACCCTTCCTTATTCTCCTATTTCAAAATTCAAAACACCAATTTCTACTTTCTTTTTCCTCCCACCCTGCACCAGCCGAAGGAAAAAAAATTATAAAGGAGAACAAGGCACGTAGAACATGATCCAGAAATCAACTTCTTTAAGTTTTTATTTTACGATAACTTAACTAAATAATATATTTAATTAGTTGTCGATGTAATATAACTAAATAATGATATTAAATTCACTATCCGAATAAAATAATTTTACATTAACAATTTATACCCATTAAACTCTATTTTATATATATTTATCATACCTTTTTCTATTTGCTTTTAATTTTAATCAATTGGTTAATAACTTTTTTATTTAATTTTAATTTTATTATTATTTTTGAATAAACAAAATGCTATATTAAATCTAAAATGAAATAATTCTTATACTTCTCTTTTAACTTTCATTATATAATAATATTTATTAATTACGTTCTAATTTTATTTAAATTCTATATTATATTTTTAAATAAACAGAACGCTATATTATATTTTGAAATAAACAGAATACTATATTATATTTGAAACAAAATATTTTTTTTTTAATTTTTAATAAAATAATATAATAGTCAATAATTTTCATTAATTAAAATTAATATACTGAACAAAACAAGTTCTTAAACCTTCAGTGTATAACTAATTTAATAATATAGGTCATATTTTTAAATTATATTCAAAATCAAGAGTATTATAATTAAATAAAGAACTACTTTAAAAAAATTAAAAAAAAAATAACGACGATTCAAATTTTATGATATTTACTTACTGTAATCATTTCATAATTATTACAGCGTAATTATATTAAACTTTCAAAATTAAATATAATTATAAAAATAAAATTATGTATATATATATAAAATAAAATAAAAAAAGGTTCCATATGTCATGTCGAAATTTTAAACTTTTTGACAATCCCGTCATGTTATCCCAAAAGTTCAAAAAAGGTCGAGAGTATGTAATAAGCTTCTGGACATGGCCAACCCATGTTGAATATGAGGAATTTAAATTTCTTGCTTTCTACAATCTCTTTCAAATTGAACAAAATACAAATTTTGAAGAATGAAACAATTATTAATATCACAAGTAGGCATATAAAAGTTAATATCACCCCGCTTGAAAAAAAAAATCAAGACATCATGTGCCTGACTGTCTGTATAAATAAGTTTTGACTTTACATATGAAATTTAATGAACTTATCGTCCTAACCTATAATACATACTATGTATATATCAACAAACGTAAAAAATAAAATGCATGGTACAATATGTAAATGTATAGACAACATCCCACATACTTTTTGAAAGAAAAAAAAAACCTATCTGCAGATGAAAAAGGTAGATTTATTATTGAATAGCTTTGCTGCTATTTTTTTTTTTTTTTGGTTAGAGCTGATGGATTATTTAAGATCATATAGATTTTTATACAGAGCATTATCTTTTAAATTTTTTTTGAGGGAGAGTGGGAACCCTCGATTATTTTAGTGAAGTAAAAAAAATAATTCTTAAAATAGTAAATTTGAATTTAACTTAATCTTATAAAATTGATTTATAAGATAAAGATCCTTCTTTACTTATATATTATTAATTTTTTTTCAAATAATAAGACACATGTATCCTTGATAAAAGAAGCTTTACAAGAACCTTTGAAAAACAATTTTGCCTCTTCCTCTCGTCACTTTCTTCTTTTTCTTTTCTCATGATAGGGAAGAGAAATTTAGAAGAAGACTTATGCTCAATCTTTTACAAACGGAAGAAAATGTTTCTTTTTCTTTCTTCCATTCTCTCTTTTCTTCGTTTATATGCAACCAAAATACGTAAAAGAGTAACAAAATACAGTAACTTTTAAAGTTACGATTGCAGCGTATATTCGCGATACTAATTATATACATGAATAATTCCGTCTACAAAATACATTTCTAGAAGTGTGACATAATGTCGACGTTGAAACTTGAAGAAAGAGTCATATCTACATATCATCGTGATATATAAGATGGTGAGTGAAAAAAGCTAAAAGCACACCAATCAATTTTATGATTTTAAATTCTAGTTTCCTTTTTTTTCTTGCTCCATGATGTATTTGTCATCATCGATCTGTTTTAACTCTCACCGTCAACTTACCATTAAGAGCAACATATATATGCAATATCTAAGTATAATAATCCTTGTTTTATATGTTTGTGTAAAATATAATAATTTTTTATTTTTAATCCTTATAAAAATATAACGAATTTTGTTTTCTTATCTCTTCTTTGATGTATATAAATCCCTATGAAATATTGTGTGTGTGTGTTTTTTAATTTTATCATTTCGATGGGTACTTGGGTACTACAACAAGTATCAATGAATATCATAGAGATAAAAAAAAAAAACAAAATTGAAAGATGAAAAAAAAATGGTTATGCTTGTAAAGATGTAAATCATATTTAAACTTTTTGCTTTCATAAAATTAATAAATAGCCATTTTAAAAATTAAGCTCAAGGATTTAAGTAAAGTATGACTTACTGTATCTCTACTATGTTTCTAAATGAGAATTTATTTGAAACATCAACTTAGAAGAATGAAAATTGTAAAGATTCTTCTATTCATTAGAAAATACAAAATTGAAAAAAATAATTATTTGGTTTAGCTTATTTTAAACAAATAATTAAATATTTGTACCAAAATTTTTATTTTTTAAATAACCAATTACGTATTTTTTTTAATAAATTTAAACATTAATAAACATGCATTAAGTTTTCAACTTCTCGAACTCATGAATTTCCAAAATCAAATTAAAAATAGTAGCAATATAACAATAAAACACGAAATGAGATGTGAAGGATAAGTTGCAATATTTTTTTACAACACATTTTATAAAGTATTTTTGTATCTCTTTTACATGAATGCAATGGATGAAGGAACTTAAGCCGCTGTATGTTGGTGGTGGTCCAAAAAAAAAAACGAGGGAAACATAGAAATGAATGATAGACATAGTGATAGATTCATAGGTAGTAACTACTGCTAAGTGCTAAACACAACAAATAGAATGCCGTGAATATCCGCATATGTTTGTTTGGGCCCAACCTGAAACTTCCCCGCGCCCTTACGTTGTTGATGCCACCTCATAACCTTGTTCTTGTTTTTTACAAACTTTCAAGTTTCAACAACAACCACCTTATACCTCTTTGCTATGCTCTATATATTTAACATTCTAACACTCGTAATAGTAACACTCGTCCTTCTCTTAACCCAACCTTTGCTATTCTCGCCAACAACACGCCATGGGAGAAGAGGTGCCCAACAAAACAGAATCACACTCACCCTCTCAGGAAGACCTTTCCATCAAAACCCAACCCCTGACAAACTCCGAGGAAGACCTTTCAAACAAAACCGAACCACTTCCAAACTCTGAGGAAGAGCTTTCCAACAAAACCCAACCACAGCCAAACTCTGTTTCCCAGGAAAAGGAATCGGAGAAACCTGACCCTCCAAACCAGAACGTCACTTCTCCTTCTCCCCTTCTTCAAAGTAACTCTCTCACTCTTCTTGCTAATGTTTTCATAAACTATTTGCTGTTTAGCGTGTAGATTCAAAACCAAAATTCACCATCATCAATTCATCATCACACTTTCTATTCGTTTCCTTTCTTTCTTGCCTTTTCTTTTTTATTTTAACGTCTTTGGTGCATATACTTCTTTATTATTTCAAATCAGCTTCATCACTCATTTTCACAAGAAACAGGTTCCCATTCCTCTGCCTCTTTTCTTTAAACCTGTTTAACTACGCTTTTGCTTTCTGCTTTTGGTTGCCATATAAGTTTTTCTTCCTTGAAATCAATTTCAAGCTTTCTTTGGTTCGTACAATAAAAGGAAAGTAATTCTTGCTTTTCAGGGACACGTAACTTTCTATTTACTTTGGTGGTAGAGTGCTCTAGAGTTGAAAATTGATAAGAGTTTCAATAGCTAATTAATTTACCGAAAATTTTGTAATTTCCACCTTATCTTTTGGGATTCACTAACTTAACATTTCTGCTTAGGCCTTTTGCGGATAAAATTCTTGAATGAAGCAACACATATTTACTTTTGTATTGTTTAAAACTTCTATTAGATTCTTTGACAAGTAATTTGCAATATATTCCTTGTGAGATAAAACTAATACAATATTCACCTTTTAAAGATGAGTAAATTCTATAGATATTTAGGCAGGGTCAATTATTACACTTATCAGAATGGGAGAGTTCTTGAATAACGCATGCAAAAATTTGTATATTCTATATTACTCCTATTCATTCACCCCATCATGTGCTCCATGCAGATGTTGCGGATCAAGCTGATAAAAAGGATGCAGGGGATTCAGTGGGCAAAGGTCATTCTCTAAAAAAATAGTATTAAGTTATTGAATATTCAAGATATAGATAACTTTTTCATATTGGTTCTACAGATGTTTTGCTTGCACGAGTTGTAACAGAGAAAAGATTGGCTTTAATTAAAGCGTGGGAAGAAAGTGAAAAGACAAAAGCAGAGAACAGGCAAGAGGCCATCTTATAGTTTGTTAAATACTCTAGAAATATAAACCATTTATTTTCGGAGAGCTTTGGCACGATATTATGTTAATCAAGATCTTCATCTAATAACTAGAATTTTAAGAATGATAATTTCTTCACATATCTAACATGACCTTGCTTGTTTCTAATCCAAAACAAATACTAGAGACTATTTTATCAGTTAATGAGGCATCCTACTGTTTTCGTTCATTCAATATAGAAATATAATGATTTCATTATAGATCTTTTTTGCTCATTCATTAGAAACGTGCTGTGCAAGAAAATGTTGGTTTACCATTTTGACACGTAGTTTGTAGTTATTAAGTTCTGTTGGTAATTCCAATACTTCACCATTAAGAAAGGCTATAAATAAGTTAATTCTTTGGTATATCTCTTCTAAATTTATGGCATTATTTTAAGTCGTGTCTTCTCACATTTTGGAAAGAAGCAATATGATTCTCAGTTAGTTTAGTGCCTTGTGAGATTTCTTTGGCATTTGCATGACTTTGAAGGGTAGAATGGACCCTAACAAGATGAAACTGTTAATTGAAGAATGTATTCTTGAAAAATTACTCATTTAGTTGGTTTGTAATTTTGATCGAGATACATATGTTCTAGTCTTGTACAGTTGTCAATTTTAGATGCCAAATAAAATCTCAATTTCATTATCAAAATTGAAAGCTGAGTTTGATGAAAGTGAAATGATCAAACAGGGCATACAAGAAGCACTCTGCTATTGGATTATGGGAGGATAGCAAGAAAGCATCAGTAGAAGCACAACTCAAGAAAATTGAGGTGATTAACTCAATGGTTGTGGATATCACTGTGATTGTTAGCTAACCATGATAATTGGATCTTCTTTGTCACTGGATATGTGTTCAATTATGCATCAAGGACTTGTTTTTATAAATGATAACTTATTTGAGCCACGTTTTTTAACAGGAAGACTTGGAAAAAAAGAAGGCTGAGTATGTTGAAAAAATGAAGAATAAAGTTGCTGAAATCCACCGATTAGCAGAAGAGAAAAGGGCAATTGTTGAGGCTCAGAGAAGGGAAGAATTCCTGGACCTAGAGGAGACAGCTGGAAAGTTTCGTAGCCGTGGTAATACACCAAGGAGATTCTTTTCATGCTTGAGCGGCTAAGTTTTTTCAGGCGAATGCCAGGGACCAAATTCTCGTTCATGTGTTCCTAGTTCTTACATATACATTTAAATTTTGTTGTTTCGTGTGTTGTTTTTCCCTATATACTATGTGAATCATAACTTAGCAGTTGATTTGTTGAGGACGAATTTACATAAAAATAAGTGAAGAAATTGTATCAGCATACTTGTTTTATGTGATACGTTCTTTGTTGGACATTGTGTTGTTGATACTCTTTATAACTATAAATATTCTCTTGCCTTCTAAACTTTGTCTTTAAATAAGTACATTTAAATAAATATATAATAATCATATAACTAATTTTACAATTTTTGAATAACATTTTTTTCTTTTCATTACGTCACCTGTTTTATTTTATATATTTTTATTCTCTTTTTATATTATTATATAATTGTATAAGCTTTTCTATAATTTTAATATATAAAAAATAAAATCCAGCATTTAAATACCCATTATCAGTATACATGATAACAAAAAAAGATGACAATTTATTAATCTATAAAAATGGTTGTACAATGAGTTATAATAATAGAAACCATATATTTATTAAAAATTCTAATAATTTGTTTTATCATATATTTTTACTGACTTTTGTATTACAACATTAAAACTCATAAAGAATATATTTTATAGACTAAAATATAAAGATAATATTATATATATCACGTATAATTGTTACACTATTTAATAATTTTAATCAAATAATTTTATTTTTAGACTAAAAGCTTCTTTTATATAAATCGTGCTTACAAAACTTTATATTATGATTAAAATATTTTATATTTATGTACGTCAAAGTTAGTTAATATAATATATATTTTCAAAATATAAAAATATAAATAATTTGATTATTTTTAGTAGGATATGAGTTAGTATTTTGAGATATATAAAAGATAATTTTTGCTTGTTTGCATGTAGGAAGGAAAGTAGTTATTTAAGACGATAGTTAATGCAAACAAATTTACATAATTATGCAACTAAAACTATCAAATGATCAAATTGATTCAACCTTTCCTAAATTTCTTATGGATCATTTATTTTATAATTTGATTCGGTCTATTACTTTGTAATTTGGATCAAATAAACTTAATAGGTTTCAAAGTCTAAAAATCTTAATTTAACCTAATTTGATAAGTGAGGTTAGACTAAATTAATTCGAGTCTTTTTGGAATATTTATTTTGAAACTCAATTTCACTAGACTAATTAATTGATCAATTTTCACCTCTAGTTCTAACAAGGATTACATGTTTCTAATTTGTATTTTACTATTCTCTAGATAAATTTATTCTAATTTTAATTTCATGCACAACCTAGAATATGAAGTCTAGAACTATCAAAAGATTACAATATTTACTTGGCATTTCTAGATTCCTTTGATACAAAAAGAGGGAAGAATTGATCAACATAGAGTGGTTAACTACAAGTTTCCGTAGCCATGGTCCATGGAGATACCCTAAAAATTTAAATTATTTGCATGTTTTAAGTAACAACTAAGTTTTTCCCAACATCTTAAAATAAAGGTTTTTTCCCACATCAGTCGTTACAAGTACGTAACCTCTTTAAGATATAACCATCATTAAAATGGGTTTTAGTACTCCTATTAGTAGTCTTTTTCATGTTTAAAATATAGAGATCATTATAAATAAGTTTTATTGTATTCCTATTAATAAAGTCTTTTTCATGTACACGACTTGGTTGCTTAACATACTTGAAATTTCAATTATCTTTGCTAGACTTTGTTGATTGGTACCGAGATATTGACATGGTTTGTAAACTCACGTACGTGGCAATGTGGCATGATATATGAAGGGCTTACTCAATTAATGCCCAGTCCCATGTCATGCACTCCCATAATAAGACAATGTGCTATCAAAATAATATTTTACCTTGCACGAAAGGGACCTTGTGTTTGCTCTTTGCAATACGTGACATCAGTTATTACTGGAGTTCATAAACCAAACGAGGGAAAGATAACCATCCAAGTCTAACAACGTAAAAGTTTGGCTAATAGGAATTTGGTTTTTGACGGAGTCTGAACTCTGAAGCCTATTATATCAGTATGACGTTTATTTTCATTAACTCCTTGATGGAGTACTTTGGATTGCAAGTCTCACTTTAAGAAGCTTTTCAAGGAAACTGACACATTCAACAAACAATTCCAGACGTGAAACATCCCTCTTCTCTCTTCCATAACATAATATAAGAGCACCTCTGGCAGGGTGCGTACTTACAATAAATTTCTATTGGAATGATTTTACGTGGCAAGACAAATTCCAAATTTTTTAGCTTTATTGCTTGGAGAAGGAATAGTGCTTAACATCCTAAAATTTAAAATGGAGAGGTTTAATTGGTTGATGGTGATCCAAGGTGGAACGTTAACAAAGATTTTACAAACCAAATTTTCAATCAAATTGAAAGCCTTCAATGAGCCAGTAGTAGGATGTTTTCTATTCAAACTACGCAACACATTCTTATTTACTTGAAATATAACTGCTTTAAATTCATTTTGTAATTGTTATTTTATTTGAGCTTATTTAGATAAACTTTTTATAGAAGCACATATAAGAGGAAAAAAATTGGAAGAAAAATGAAATAAATTTTTTCATAAATTAAAATTAACTTAAATATAAATTAATTTGTATATCTCTCTTATTAATTTCTCCAAAATCATATTTTTAACTAATGAAAATAATTTTAACTTATGAAAATTTAATTTAATTTTTCTATTTTTTCTTCTTAAAAATGCTTATAAAAGGAAACGTATCTAAACATGTTTTTTGTGTCAATTTGCTTCTTTTTTCTTTTAACAGTGCTACTATTCAGTAATAAACTCGCACAAAAAACACCTATAAATAACGTAGAAGAATCTTGTGTTTTTTAAAACCAAAAAGACTCTCCGCCTTCTCCGGGGCTCAAGAAAAAGGTTCATCCTGAAAGAAAGAACCTTATTTATTTTGTGAATTGTGTTTTTGATAGTTGACCGTGGATGGTGAGTTTTACCTAAAATCATACTTCCACTGTACTCGTGAAGGATGCTTCCTCATCCCTTCATCCTATGCTGCTCTAAGTAGATTTCTTCACAGAAAGCCTCTGATTGCTCAGCAGGAAACAAAAAAGAAAAGTACACTTCACTCCATTAGGCTTAGTGACTCGTACATTTGTCAAGTGACACAGAACACTGGTAGAACACGCCAGGTTGGCATTGTTCCAAAGTCTCTTATAATTAAAATAATATTTTGTGGCATATGCTCCTGCATTTCTTACAATTTGTGAGTGAAGCTCTGAAGTACGCACCACTTCAATCCCTTCTCATTTTTAGCCATTTAAGAGAACAATACTGTAGTACTAACCACGAATGAAGCAACTGAAGTGAAGCTAAATGAAGAAATAAAGAGATGAATAGCTACAATTCTACAAAAGGTTTGAACGACGATGATTTTGAAAAGAACCAAGTCCAATTGTTTGAAAAGTGACGTAACTGGGCTAAAACAATGCCTGTAGTTGCTGAAATAGTTGATATATATTTGATGGGAAAAAGTGCTAGACCAAATGAAACAGCAGGCTGCTGAAAACGAAATTTTCTTGTAAAAAATTATCAGTTTTGCTAAATGTAGCGCAGATCAGTTTCACATAGAAGTGGAAATAGGTCACACTTCAGGGATGCAATATGTATTTTACTCTATGAGAACCCCAAATGATCAATTACAGCCTTAATGTATAAAATGTAAAATATCTGTTAATAGCAGAAAATACCACTTAGAACCCCCTGAACATTTTTCACCCTGCTAATTGACCGTGTTTGTTAACAAGGGTTCACCATCTGTCCTTTTTGTTTAATCTTTAGTTTTAAAAAACCAACAGAAGATGGATTATGGCCATGCTTGCCCTTTTGCATTAGAATCGTGTAGAAGCAGGAACGCCATGAATTGCAATAACCATCGTTTCT